TCTATAAAGCTTCTAAGAAGCTTTGTCATAAGATAATATCAAATCTACTCACATTTACTTTCTATCTAGCACTTCTTATCTAGATAAATATGTATGTCCATGATATCTATTGAATTTTAAATTTCAATACTTTTAATTTTTTTATTTAATAAATCCAAGTAATAATAAATAACATTTAATACCTTTTATTTTAAACTTTCACATTGGATTCACTACTTATATTGTATTTTATGTTGTCTTATTCTAAAATGCATCAAAGATTTAGCTAAAGAATGTTCATAAAAAAATTATATAGAATCTTTAAAAAATCTTTAAAAAAAAATAATAATCCTAAAGGAATCATAAAAAAAAAAAAAAAAAAAAAAAAAAAACTCTAAAATAATCTTAAATAAATTATAATAATTTCTATTGAAGTTATAATTTAATCCTAACTAATTCATAATAAAATTTTAATGAAATCCTCATGATAATCTAATTAATCTTAATAAATTATAATTAAATTCTATAGCAATTTTAAAACCTCAATAATTATAAATTAAACTATAGGCCTTGCTTCAAAATTTGTACATGTTTCAATCTACTAGCTGATAACTATACAAAAATTAAAGAATACAAAATTTATAAATTGGAATAAAAAGTTCTTAATTTTCTTAACTATTGGCCATTTTTTTTTTTCAACCTTGATGTGAAACTACCAACAACAATAGTTTTTTCTTTGCATTGCTTCTTTATCTTCAAAAATTTAAAGAATGTTTCAAACTAAGTTTACTATAATCTTACAATAAATCTCTTCAATCCAACTAGAAAATTACTCAAGATCTTAGAAATCTTCACTAATCTTTAAAATTTAATTTTTAAGACCTTAATCCAATTAAATTTTAATAATATTTTTTTATTATTTAATTAAGTTAAATTCATATAATATATTTTTAAAAAAATAATTTCATAATTCTATATTTTTTTACTAATTGATCTATTATACTGCTTATAAAGTCCTTTAAAATGTAATTCTTTTTTATTTCATAGGATTCCAAATCACTTAAAATAACCTTGACTTAGCAAAGTTCTTTCAATGTCAATATCTAAGATAAATTCATACATACAATCATTTGATCTACAAGATCCATCTATTAATTTGGCCCAAAACTGTCCATATAATATAAGTTCTAATAAAACTAGTTTTAGCCACTTTACATCAAAGGCCTTTATATTAATCACATAGTATTATAAAATTCTATATAATTGCTCTAAAATGGCTTTTTAAATCCTCATCTTAATCCTTTTAGTACTACTTCTATTATCTAATATCTTCCTATCAGTCCTCTATAACAACAATATTTTACAAAAAGTGTAAAAAAAGAAGACAAAAAGCCTTCAATACCCCTTCAAATCTTAGCTTCCAACATAATCTTAACTTTTATCTTATTTAGATTTTTCATCCATCTTAAATAATATTTATTCCTCTAATAATAATTTTATTGTCTTTAGTTATTAGTCTACAAAATACCTAATTGACAAATAATAATACCATTAATTGCATGGCTCTCATCCAAAGGATATACAAATTATTTGTAATATTTACATTAATATTGCAAGCATGACTTATTAAATAGATTAAATAAAAGCTCAAAATACTACTGCATTGAATTAATCACATTTGATTGTTTACGTGCTTGTATATAAAATTGTAAGTATGAGCTCATATAATTTGATTGTGCCAATTAAGCTTATTCTTTAACTTTTGAATATCACCTTTTTCTTTACATTTGAAATACAAAAAGTTATCATAATAATTTTAAAATAAGATAAAAATAAAAAAAAAAACTACAAAATCATCTACTATCATTATTTTTTTGATCTTATATTGCTTGCATATAGTACATTGGTATCATAGCATGCATGTAAGTACAAACTTAAGCAATATGAAGCAAAAAGGGAGTATACAACTTTAAGGATTTCATGATAATGTTGTGTTGTAATACAACTAATAGATAGATTGTAGAAGAAATTATTAAATTATGGAAGACCATATTTCAGAATATAGTACCAAATTATTTTAGAAATATAAATATAAATCAAGAAGGTAGTAAAATTAACAAGTGATAAAATTTCTTTTTTATAAAATGGACTTCAACTCACTTTGTAGGGCCATAAATAAGACAAAATAAGATAGGATAGCAAGGTGAGTATCATAAGCATCTTAAGATCAAATTAAATAGTAGCTCCTAAGAAAAATTACTTAGAAAAACTAAATATTAATACCTATAGATGACCAATTATAAAATTGGTTTGAAATTAGACTCCAAAGTATAAATTTGCATCCTTGTAGCAAATCTAAAGTTCTTTTATTGATTGGAGAGCAAAATATAAGAGCAAACAAGAAAAAGGTTCTTTTGGCATTAATTTTGAGAAATATGAGTTTATAATAACTTTGTGAAGGCTTTGTAAAATCATGGATGTTTTAGAATGATTTTGATTTTTATGAAATAAAACAGATTTATACTTTGGAGCATTTTGTGAGATTTGTAATAGATCTTTAAATAAAAATTTATAAATTTGTGATTGTACTTAAGTTAAATATGTGTTGTAAGTTTAAGCTTGATAAAAAAAATTCTATTAATGTTTATTGAAATTCATGTGGTTTGAAATCTCAAGTTTTGGAGATTAGAGGGATATTAAAGATTTCTAAGATTTATAATCATCCGCCCATTTTATTGAGATAGAATTTGACACACCAATAGTAGACTTGATTACCAAAAACTATAGAAATTAAAGAGATAATTATTCAATAAAAAATAGAGATATTGATGAGAAAAGATTGAAATCATGATTTGAGAAGGAGGTCAATTGACATCTTAGTAGATTTTTAGGTTTTTCTCCCATTTGATAAGTTTATTCTTCTTCAAATTTTTTATGCTTGTAATCAAATAAAAAATTAAGATGTATAAAAATATTAAGTTTAGATCAATATTTACATTGTTAGTTATTAATATTTTGAATTTGCTATAGAATTTTGTTAAGATTTTTTTAAGATTTTATTTAGATTTTATTAGGATTTTATTAGAATTTGAATATAATTCTTTTAGAATTTCATAATTATTTTATTAGAATTAAATTAAGATTTGATTAGGATTTTATTAAGATTTGGTTATAATTTGATTAAGGTTCATTTAAGATTTTAGTAGAATTAGGTTAGAATTTGATTAGGATTTTGTTATGATCTTTGTAAAATCTAATATAAAGACAAGTAAAGGGACAAGTAAAATCTAATATAAAGACAAGTAATATAATAGCAAAGACAAAGACAAGTAAAGGGAATGAAAGGGGTGATAATATAAAGTATGTTTGGAACACTTTATGATTTGGATAAAAACAACATTGATTGGTAATATCATTTAAGAGAAAAATGAATAATTATGTATAACTAAGCTTGGTGCATGCATTGAAGGGAACCATCTTATGTAGCAATCAACCAAGATCATGTTTTATAAGGGATGATGCTCTAAAACTTTGCCTATATATAAGGTATTTAAAAAATAAAATTCCTAATTATTCTAAAAAATATTAAAATTTTATTTTATATATATATATATATATATATATATATATATATATATCAAAAGTTTTTATAAATTTAATAGTTTAAATTTTTAATCAAAAATGGTGATAAACATTTTTTTAATTATTTTATAAAAATAATTATAATATTAAATTTATATTAAAATATAAATAATATTAAAAATTACAAAAAAATTATCTTTCTATTTTAATTTTTAATTTTTAAAATAAAAAATATATTAAAGTTTAAATAAAACTAAATATTAATTAATTCTTAAAAAAATAAAATTATATTATATATTTATATATATATTTGTATATATCTTTATTGAAATGTAAAAATAGGATCAAGATAAATAAAACACACTCAAATCCACACAATTTAGATCAAATATATTATAAAAAATAAAAAAAATAGCAAAAAATATTATCTAAATTTAAAATATTATAAAAAAGCTTAAGAACATGTAAAAAATAATATTGACTAAAAATTTTTAAAAAATATAAATTATAAAAATAGTATTTTTAATTATTAATATAATAATCTACAATTTATGCAATGTATTTTAGATTGAATACCATCCTCTATTACTGTCTACTTAAGGTTGTCTACTTTGAATTTACAATATTGTAACATTGGTTCTCCACTTATGATTGCCATCCTTGAGTTTCCCACATTGCAATACTTATATTTCATCCAAGGTTGTCTACCACAAGTTTATCATGTTGTAAAGATAGTCCTCCACTTAGGTTGCCCACCTTGGATTTCCCACATAGCAACACTTTGGTTCCATCCAAGATTGCCTAACTTAGATTCCCCATGTAGCAACATTTTTGTTCAGACACAAAGAATCCACCCCAGACTAAGCACTAGGAAGGATGAATATTTGAATTTAATATTCATGCAAATAGAGAATCTATGTAAGAATTTAGGTATGGTTTTTAATATGTCTATTTAGTTTGATATCTTGTAATCCAAGGGTGATGAGAGATGCCCAAAACACAACCTATGGAAAAGTATAATATCTTACATCAGTATGACTGAATCAATAGCGCAACAAAGGTCCAAACCAAGTACTATCTGTATGTACAAGACCGCCCTCAACTTGCAAAAGAGCCTCTCTACCGCATATTCTTTTTTTCCAAGTTACAACAAATTATCAGAGGAATGTTTTTGCCCCCTCCCGCCACCCAATTTGAACCCCACAAATCCCAGATGAGGATTTGTTGAAATGTAGTCATCCGTGAGTTGAATCAAGGAATTGTTCTACAATGCTTCTACCAGGAAAACGCAGCTCCCAGCTCCGATAGCGCAGCCGATTTTTCGACTTCTGAGGCTACCGGACCTTCGTAGCGCAGGTGCCGAATCAACGTCGTCTTACGTATTGCTACCCGATTAATACAAGGATCAGTATGTTGGCATGCATCTGACTGCCGTCTATAATTCCGATACCGTGGCTTGATTGTGTCTCTGACATAGTGTCCCATGTCTATGCTATCGGATTTCCCTCGTGGCTACATAAAGGTCTGAGCTGGTGGCTCCAAGCAGCAGTGCCACATTTTGTATCGTAAGTTTCGACCTCACCCACCAGTGCAATGACGAACATCATTGTTGTGCTTGCAGCCTGCTGCTGCCGGCTTGAATGGGATATTCATGGAGGCTTGGGAGAGCCTATCACTATCGACCCGCCAGTGGACATTACGCCGATTTTAGAATGTTGCGGTACTTCACTCCTGGTTTTTGTCTCAGCACTCAATTTCTGTTATTTTCTCTCAGTTTTTTCTTTCTACTTCTCCATGCCGTGACTTCCGTTTCGATCATCAATTTCGAGTGTTGGATACTAATTGTTGCTGAGTGGCTTTGTGCAGGCGCGAAGGTTGGAGCTTCAAATGAATCCTACCCGGTTGCGTAGTTTGCTGGCCAAATGGGTGTCTTCGGTCGTTTTCGCGCCAGGTTTTAGACCACTCGATGATCAGTCTAGATCGCGTTGCTTTGGCACGGCCCTTCGGTTATTTATTGGAATGAGAGGACGTTAATACACAAGGCAGGGGAATAGGTACAATTCAAGTTCCGTTTGTTGTGGGCGCTGATAGATTGCTTCGGGGTAAGAGAGACAGCAATCCGGAATTAGCTCATAACCGAATACTCTTTCGTAAGTCAATCTGGTATGAAGATGTTCAATTACGACACTGTACTGTGTTATGGGTACAGTGAAATTGGACAAATTTTTGGAATCATGTCAGCGGGGTTTTCAGTCAAGGAGAAAGCCATGAGAGCTTACTAGTAGCGGAACTTGTGTGTTCCTGGCTTGATTTTATTACGGATCGTATTGACAAGAACATCCATATGCTATTTGAAACATATTGGAAATAAATTTGTAACTTGAGCTGTCCGTTCATAGCCGCTGACAGAAATAAGTTGATATCTGCATGTGAAGAGTATGGGCTCGTCTCGTGCTTATGTCATGACGGCTTTTCAATCTTTGCAAGGAATTAGGGTGAATCTTGGAATCCTGTGTTCACGGAAGTTTTCATTTACAGATAGTTTTGTGAAAACAAACAAGGACATTGACAGAGCCCTGCAAACGGTTCTACAAGTTGCTGATGGATACGAGGCTCAACTTCCCTCGAACCCTGTATCACAATGTTCAGTTCATTCCTCATTCCCTAGTTCTGTTTAAGTTTGATCCCTTTGGACTTCAGAGTTGGCACTGGTCAATGGAATAAGTGCACGTTCTTTTTTGCAATTACTCCTGTGAAGCTAGATATGTATAATACATGAATATCACTTACTTTTTTTCATTAACACATGTAAGTTTTGGAAAAAACTTCATGTTAGTCTGAGCATTGAGTGCATTGTGTAGTTTTCTTTGCAGAGTTCATGTTTTCTGGATGGCAGTCATGTGATTACTTTAGAATAGAATCATTTTTCAACCTTAGCAGCCAATGTCAAACATAAGCTTCAAGTAGAGAACTGCTGAGATGATCATGTTCATTGCTGCCAAACTGGGATGCCAATGTGTGAAACTATTGACTGAAGTTTTGTTAACAACATCCATGGTGAGGGTGGTGTGTGTGTGCATGGTCTTGTGAATGTATATATTTACTGAACCAAGTATATTTTGCAATAGACTCACTGTTCAGAAAGCATGAACAGTAAACTCTGTATAAAGTTTTAAAATGTAGTTCAAGTTTTGGATATTTCATTCTTTTCAATGCATCTTTTTTGTTTAGGCATTTGTATGATGACAACATCTTATACATTTAGTCATTACATACTGAAATTGTGAATCATATTCTAACTACATGTTGTGAGTGTGTGTGACATGCTACTCAAGCCAAGTGGTGTTTAAAGTGGTTGTAGCTTGTTGCAATAAGCCATGTATATGTGATGGCAATGTGATAATTACCACAACTTGCTTAAGGTAGAATATACAAGTCCATTGTTAGTTGTTATCAACCATGCAAATTGCATGGAAATGCACATGGTAAATATAATATATTTGTTTTAATTTATCTTTAAATTATCAATTCTCACTTGACTACACAATGTGGTATTTTCACAGTGTGTTAATGCACAAAAAAAAAAACAAGAGTATAAAAAGTAGAGAGATAAATACCAACTATTGAATTACTTTTTATTATTTTGATATTTCTACAATGGACTATTAATGTAGTACAATAATTGTTATAGTTGACCTTGACGTCGTGTATCTCTAACATCCTCCCTTATAGCATAATTATCAACAAAAAAATATCTTAGCATTATACATTTCTGTTGTAATCCTTTCAAAACTTATGATTGGGCTTGTGGTAGAGCTCCCTCCTCCGTTGCAGCAAGACCAAGCAGCTCTGCGCCATTCCCCGGGACACTCTTGCATCAGCATTTGTGTAATCCAGATTGCTTGTGAAGATTCATCATCAGCAACCATGGCTGCCCAATCGCACAAGACTGACTCCCTTGTGGTAAGAGTCCGAGACAATCAAGCTTGCAGTCTAGTGCGGTGTTAATTCTCCGAAGAGCACAGTTGATGCAATAAAACAGCATTCCTCTTTTGAATCTTCATTTTGGAGGAAAACGAAAATGGAATTTCTCTATGTTGATTCATCATGATGGTTTTTACTCAATGTTACAACGCAAATCAGATTCGATGCCAGGCCTTCGTGATTCGGTAACCTAGGCGTAGTTCTGGTTAGAGGGGATGAGACTCAAGATTTCCAGAACGGAGCCGTATGACGCGAGTGTCACGTACGGTTCTTTGGGAAGTGGACGTGTTGGAACGCATTTAGAGCTCCTGTCGAAAGCGCTTGGCAAACTTCCGGTGTAGGGCGGTTATTCCGCGCAGGCGCTTTGTGAGGTCCTGTATGCCTGCTTGAGGAAGACTTAACCATTTATGTTTTGTCTTTCAATTTCCGGTGTTCGATTTTGGTTCTCATTGAGTCAGTCTAGTGCTTTTGCAACGTATGCATGTCGAGACTACACGGATGTTCGCAAACAGATCCGAATCCAGCACAACAAGATTGGTGTTCCTCGAGTTCGGCAGATAACATTCACGCCGAGTTGATTCTCATTGGATTTCAGAGGTGACTACCCATGACGGGTAGCCCCAAAATGTTTCCCACATTCTACAGTAATTGTTTCAGATTATGTCTTGTGAATGACTAGAGGAAACTTGAGGAGATTAGCACGGAACTCTTCTGGTTACTTTCGTGGTTTTCTGACACTTCATGTGAACCCAAGTTGATACTCTAGTTGATTTAGAAAAAAAGTAAAACTGCAATTACAATTTTGACTTCCTTATGTCCGTGTTTGTCCCCCAAGAAAGCCCCTGCTTCTTTGTTACGTAGATTTATGAATTGATGGAGAGTTTTTTAGGTATCTGAACTCTAGCCCAACTCGTAACAAGGATGCGGCTAGCTTTCATTCATGGATCGAAAAAAATTTCGGGAGCCTGCTGGATTCTGCTGGCAATAATGCTATTTTGGAGCTGCACGGTAACCCTGGTGAGCTCTACTAGACCTGGGCTAGTGGAGAAATGCGACGAAACTGGACAGTGCTAACTCGAGTACGCTTACAAGGTTTGGAATGATAGATCTCCTTGCAAGGTATGATCACGTGTATCACCTTACTAGTAATCTTCAACTATTCAAAGACAATGAATTTGTTTTGAGAAAAGCATACTTTGCCAGGGAGACATAGTATGCTTCAACGAGATTCGATACACACTTTGCATGAGAAATCTACAAGCTTTAGAAAAATTGGAATGAAATCTCATCGGTGAATCTTTGCAGTGTGCTTTTAACACGCTTGAGTAATTTTTCTATCAGGCAAGTTCTGTGGTTTACCCATCAACTGAGCAAGAGATTCTCAGTGCTGTTGCTGCTGCCGTGAGAGGCAACCCACGTTCAAAAGAAATTTGACATTACGATTTGTGAAAGGAGACGTTGGGTTTGAGGACGAAACACTTCGGATCGCTAATAAAGTAGAGTTTGGAGATGTCACATGATACCCCTCGCTGGGTCAAGTTGTTTACAGAGAGGACCACCAGAAGAAGGCATCGACAACTTCATTGGATTTCAGCCCCAACCACAGGCTGTAATAACGGGCACAAGGGTTGCTGGTATGCAGCCTTCTGAGGTAAACGAATGAGTTAAAATTAGAAATTTTAAGATAAAAGTGTCTGCAATGTGAGGTGAACAAGCTGATAAGTTCCAATGTAGCTACAAATTTTGGAAATATTAGACTCGTCTGAATTGATGGCCGATGTCAAGCAGAAGAAGCGGCCGAATCAGCCCGAAACCGGCAGCTCAAGTGTGATCTTGCGTTTACAACTGTAACTGCACAGCAAGAACTCGGCTATGGGTATAATAAGAACGGGTTGATATTTTCTGGCTTCTCAGTCATTGGTAGACAACACCTTTTTCAGACTGCTGGCGGATGTTGAAGTAGTGATTTACCGGGCTTCTACTGCCCATGGGACCAGCGAATAGGAGGCCTCAATATCTATGCAGCTTCCGCTGCTCTTCCACCAGCAGAGCAACTTAAAGTCTTTTCTCCGCGACATCAGAGACCTGCAAGCAACAGTTCCAATGAGCCTCTGCGATCTTGATCTGTACAGTGGTATATTGATTAGATTCGTCCGTAAGACTGATGCCTATCTCGGCTCTGCTCAGGAGGACAAGGCCATGATTGACTTTACGTGGTCCCGTGGCAACGATGCAACAACACAAAGGCTGGATATGGACATATTTCAGGAATTTGAGCAGCTTGCATTCGACAAACACAGCGCACGGCCACACTGAGGAAAGAACCGCAACTACGTGTTTCAGGGTGTTGGAGAGAAATATGGGAACGTGGGCAAGTTCCTTGATACAAAGAACCGTTTCGATCCTCAAGGCTCCTTCTCCAGCGAATGGTCCGATGCTCTTCTAGGAATAAACAAGCCTGGCGCGCCAAGAATAGAAACGTATGCTCCATTCTGTGCCATCGAAGGACTTTGAAGATGCCAGACGGACGAGCATTGTGCACCAGAGTAGAACAGTTTCTGCCACCCAGGCTGAATCTTCCCTGCAGCAAGAGTCTGTCTTTCGGAGTAAACAGAAAAAACCTGTCCTAATCACGTTGTTGCTCCGTTTCGATCTCCTGTGATCAGATCAAGTTCTCATCAAAAAATATTTCAAAAATATATTTTAAGAAATAATAGTGCACTCAATAACAAGATGCCTTAAAATTTTACAACAATATTATGTAGTACTATTAAAATTTCCTAATATTAAGATACTAAGTCAAAAAATTGATTTTTTCATCAAATGTTACGATGAATTTCTTGATTTTTGTTTAAAAAAATATACAATTTCACTTATATAAATTAATTAATTTCTAACAACTTCTGTAACTGTAAAACATAAATAAATAACACACAATTGAAAGAAAAATGTATAAATTATTTTGTTTCATAATTTGAACCTTTTCTATATATATATATATATATATATATATATATATATATTCTTGTAAGTTTAGCTTTCATAGATATATTAACAGATACATATCTACATGATGTTTTGGATAAATTAGAAAACCAAATTTATGATAATAGGATGTTTAATGTTGAATTTTTTTACTAGTTCATTTTAATAAATAAATAAACTACTTGAGTAATTTTGATTTTTTTGCAAAAAAAATGAAAAATATGTATTTAAATTTATTAAATTATTTTGTTTAATTCAGGATGATATAAATTTATTAAATCAAGATGATATTAATTAAATTATTTTGTTTTAATTCTTAAAACAGGTGGTACTTAAATCATTTTACATATTTCTAAGTATTTATAGTCTTTAGATGTAAGAGCATAACTTATCTCTTTTTAATTACAAAAAATACAATTATTTATGTAAAGGACTTTAATTAGAATTGGAATAAAAAGTGCATTTATAAGAATGAAACTGGCCTTATTTCGATATATATATATATATATATATACCAAGAAGATCTTGTAGAAGCTTTCAAAAACCATGAGACTTTTTATCCAAGCATCTAATTAGAGGATGCTTCAAATGCACTCTTTTTTCTAAATAAGAAAATTTTGGAATAAATTTTAATAGCCACATGGCATATCTATAGAAATCTAGAGTTCTAATGTGCATCTAGAAAACTTCTTTAATGTTTCTTAAGTAAAATTTTATTTATTTGACATATTCTACATACTTCTAATTATTTCTATTTATTTCTATTTGCTTAAGTAATATAGGCATCTATTACAATGCAATATAAAGAATGAATCTGTTGTTTCAACTTAGCATCTTTCTTAATTAAATTATTTTCAAACATTAGATTTTCAAGCCATAAGTATAGGACAATTGTGACAATTGTCTCTTAAGAGACTTTTTACAAAAATATTGGTTGCTATGTAATGGATACAACAATATGTTAATTTATTTTTTGCTTTGTACTTGTTTATAGATGTAATAGACTTGATTATCAAGGTGCTTGCTTCTATAATGAAAAACTTAGATTTTTATTAAGTTGTATTACAACTAAGTTGCCAATATAAATATTAGTGAATTAAGCTTATTTATAACCAATATTATTAAGCAATCTTTATAGTCAAATAGCTTCTATGTAGGTTTTTTAAAATGACATATATTTGCAATTAGTTGAGCATAGTATGATTGTTCTTCGTTTTTTGTTAGTCCAAATAATAAATTAAATTTTTAACTTAATATTATATATGAATATTAAACAACAATCATCCAAATTACTTGCCTCGTTGATATCTAAAAATCCACTTGAAATTAGCAATTGTGTTGACAATTGTTATAAAATACCTAAATATAAGATAAATTTGAGTTATCACAAACTTTATTTGCTTAATTTTTAATAAATTTTTTTCAAATATTAAGATATAATATTGATAGATTTAAACATATCTAATCTTTTCTTGAGTGATATGTGAAGTTCACTACTAATTAGTGCATCATAAGAAAAATTCTTTGTTTAATTAATTTCTTGTTTAATATTAAAATAAATAAATAAATAAAACTTTAGTTAATTTGTTACTATGCTCCATAGATATAGTTACTATGAAAAATGATTTTTTTCTAAATTTATGCAATAAAGATTTGATGAAATTAAATTGATTTCTTTTAAGACAATTTTTTTGTTCATTACAAAAGATTTATAAGCCCAATGTATAAGACTTTTTAATTAGTCCAAATCAATTATTTCAATCTAAGTAGAAATTTGATATTATATCTTTTATAATAAAATTATATTAATAGTAGTTAATATGATATAATCTAAAAAAAATCCCAACATCAAAATATTATTCTTATTTCATTATAAGTATAAATTAGTATCTGTAATACTTTAAAGTAAACCAAAAATAAAACAAAATAAAATCAGAAAGTGCTTAGTATGAGATACATTTAAATCGCTCAAGTCCATAAAGAGCTTTCTGTAGCTTACAAGTAATATATTTAGTAAAACAGATAAATGGACTAGGAGTGAATAATTTTAATTTGATTTCTTCTTATGATTTATAATTTGAATAAGTAATTGTGACATATTTTCAATGGATGTGTAGAAATTAATTAGTTAAAAATACTAATATGCTATTTATTGAAGATAATTTGAGGAAAAAAAAAAAAAAAAAAAAAAAAAACCTATTGTTAAAGCTTATTATCTAAGAGCATTCTTTAGCTACAAAACTATTGATATATATATATATATATATATATATATTGATTACATGCTTGATTTTAAATACTCTTTTATATTTCATTAAATACTTATTAGGTGATAATTCTAATAAAAATTATATATCATTTTTAGCTTCTAACAAAAATTGAGTAGTTATTATATATTTTCAATTTGTGGCATCTATACTTGCTATGACTTCTTCATAAGAATCATTTTATATTTAAGAAGATTTTTTATTAACTTAAGCAACTTAGATCAATAAAATTTTGCATCCAAAGAATTAAAAATGGTGTTATTTACTGATAATACATAAATTTTAAAAATGATATCTTTAATACTTTTTAGATTGATAACCAGCTTATTCTTTGTTAAATTTTATAATCTTTTAAGAAATATATATCTATAACTATTATTCTATTTGAATATTAAGTTTTCAATTTTTATAGTACTTAATGCCATTGAAGTTGATTGTTTATAATTCAGTTATTGTATCAGCATAGAATAATAAAGAACATGTAAATCTTAATTTATTGAATAATATGCAATTAATTTATGCTTAAAGTTTTAAAGGTTTGAAAAAAAGCATGTAATAGAAATTTATAACTTGCTTAACCAATTTTTTGATTAGAAATAAATTATATTGGATACTAGATATATAATAAACAACAAGAAATACACTTATTTATTGTCATTTTGATGTATCACATTAACTTCACCAATATTTTTGTTCCATATCTAAAGCCTTTGTAAATATAAGTATGTTGTTATATAAAAATGGGATAATAATTTTAAAATATTTTTTGTCATAAATTATACAACTAACAGCTCTTAACCCTAAAATTTAATTATTTGGAAGATTTTACTTGATCATTTAGCAATGTTGCATATAAAGTAGTTTCTAGCTTCTTAGATTTTTATTTTTATTTTTTTATGATTAATAAATTTGTAACAAACTTTGGCTCTATGATTGAATTTACTATCATTAAATTAGAATTTATTAGGAATATTATTAGAATTATTTGTATTTCTAAAATGAGATTTATTAAATTTTTAAAAACATCTTAGAAAAATCTTATATTGGAGTTATAGCATGGTTTATTTCTTTGAAAAAAATACTACTTATAAAGAATAAGAGATTTTATTAAAATTATTTATCTAATGCTTGCATCTAAATACTAAATTTGAATTAGATGGATAGTTGTAATGACAACTTTTATTATTATTTTCTTAGATGAAGTGTGTAACTAAATTTTGCAAGTTTAGATTTTGATCTTGTATAAACACTAAGAAAATACAAAAACTTAAATGCATGTGATACATCAAAGCTATAACAACACTTTTGTTATTTAAAAGAGATTTAGTTATAAATAATTAATTAAGAAGAAATATTAATATTTAAATATCTTTGCTTATGCTTTCATTTTTTATCTTTAGTGTGGTTAGTCTTTTCGTCAAATATATTTTTGCTATAGAGTCTCGAGCTTCTTATACATAACATAATTTAGCTAACGATTCTTTTAATTTATTGTGTTGTTGATTTGTGCAAAATTTGATTTAATTCTAGATAACTGCATGTAAATATTCATTCTTGCATACCTTTCTCATCTTAAATTTTTTTATTACATGCACTTGTAAGAAGAGTATAAATTACTTTATCTCTTAGATTAGTTGGTAGAATCTTTAATTTGGTTTCAAAACCATCAACTATTTTTAATAATTTTTGAGATTTTAAAAAATAATTATATTAAATTTTTATATATAAAAATAACTTCTATTATATTTTTTTTAAATTAAAAAAAATTATATTGAACTAAGACATCTTATATTTTTAATTAAATATATATTAATTTTTATTTAATTCATTGATAATTTATAATTTATCAATTAATCCTTTTTATTCTTTAGTTTTAAATATGAGAAAATTATAAAATACAAGAGTTTTTCATCTACAAATAAATTTCAAAAAAGATATTTCTATTTCTATTAGTTGTTTCTTCTATTTCTGTTTGATTAACATCCATTTTATTTTCTAATTTTATAATTGTACCAAGGCCTCTTTCTCCTTGGCCATTTTGATATCATGTCAAGAAAGAGAATATTATATTTATTAATCATAAGACGAATTCCTAAATACTTATCCACTATGAACCTACGAGATACGACACATCACTTGTGTCCTTCTACACATGAAAGGTAAGCCTATTTAATCTAAAGGATGAGTTTTTTATTTCATCCCAACACCTTCAAACCCAAATATATTGAATGTGAAGCATAAAGCATCAGCACAGCTCGTCTCAATAAAAAAAACAACTAAAACAGAGAACACAAAGAAAAATGAAGTGTAAACAAACCAAAGCAAGCCATGAATTCCAAGAAGGCAAAGGAGAGAAGAAGACAACCTGAAAGGCAAGCAAATGTCATGTCAAAGTGTTATTTTTTGTTTTTATTTTTTAGTGAAGTTATTGTGCAAAAAAAACATGTTTCACACTTCAATCCCATGTGCTTCAAACGAAGAGTAATCACGATTATCAGCCATGATTCGTAGCCACGGTGTGGACATAGTGGAGATTTCAGGCAGCTCAGTCGTCAATTACAGAGAGGGCATAAAGTGCTGTAGCGGTTTTCCGGTGTTTTAATGCTGTGAATGACACTGAATTCAGCTGGAATCAAGTCTTAGCCACAAGTGTTTGGCACCAATGAACCTGGAAAACGTCAGGAATGACTTCATCGCCGTCTTCAACTTCAAAGCAGAGCAGTTGAAATCAGGCGTGCTGGCACCTACCTCACACAATCTGAAAGTGTCGCAAAACCATCAACCATTTGCTATTCGTACCAAAATTTGCATATCAATTATGCCCGATAAGGAATGCAAACTTAGGAAATGGCGCTTGCAGGCTTGCACTTGCCAGTCGTTGCAAGCCAGTTGCAGAGCTATTGCAAAGCAAGAGAAACCTGCTACTACCCATATGACGATTCGACAAACCTTCTGAAGGTTTGTCGAATCGTCATGACGTGAGAAGGTGAGCAGAACAGACTGTTATGTTATCTGCAATCAAGTTCCCATGCAACCGGACTCGAGACGAAACATCACCTGCCCCGCCACATCAGAAGTGACGCAAAGTCCACAAGCACGAGCATCGCCTTGGATGAGCTTAAAAAGTGGAGAGGATACGTTTGGGGAGGGTTTCATCCGGACAGTACTCTAGTTCATCATCTACCTTCCGTCTCGCCGTGGTTTGGATAGGGTTCGTTTTTCAGTGCAGGGTTTTAGCGGGGTTTATCTCTCCCCCTCAATCTCCATTCAATTTTTTTGTTGCTCATCCGAGACGAGGAGGCTAGCAACTGCTGTAGTGGGCAACCTTAGCCCAGTGTCATCTCATTTTTGAAGCATATTTCACGAGTCCAGGACATGGGTTTCAGGGCTTGACATTGAATTTACTTTGTGTTGTCGATCCTGTTAAGAGATTGAGCATGCTCATTAGTTGAGATCATGTTTTGAAGTTTGTTCTACCCTGCGACTGCATCACAGGATTCTGCTTAAGTGAGCAGCGTTCGAAATGTCGGCTCTTCATTCAGCTAGCGGTATGCAATGCTTGAGGTGGACAGCCAAACTCGACCAGAGCTTTGCTAAAAGTCGAACCGTTTCTACGACTCCTACTCCCAAGGCAACTTCCGCTTCGAAGCCATGGGTAGTTCCTCGTAATTTGTCGAGAGGCTACTCCATAGATGGTAGCAGACCGTCTCCACGCTTTGTTAGCAGCGATGAAAGCGGTGCCCGGTGTAGGCGCCGAGTACCAGCTAGGACTGCGACTGTTTCCAAGTTCTATCCGGTAAGGTTTCAACATTAAGTCAATTTCTGGTTTCTAAGCTCTGAGCCGCAAAACCTAATTATATAATACGATACACCCGATGTCATTTCTAGAGAGCTAGGTGTTATCCTTGTTTCCGCGCATTTTTAGTCGTGCAGCCAAGATACCATGCAATTGCAGCGACGCCATAGTTCTTGTGATTTCTTAACTCACTGGTCAACTTGATTTCAAATATGCGGAGCACCGTATTCATTTTTTGCAGAAAATTATCCTCATCTTCAGGATTTTCTTTTGTGATAATTGGAAGATCTAATAATCAGGTTCTAGTGAACGCTGAAGCATGGCATCTAGTGTTGGTTATTATGGTCTAATTTGTCTCTTGAATGGTACGATCAGACGGAAAGGGTTATTCGAAGGGTGACTTGCCTTGACAGAGTGGTTTATTAGGGTTTTTGCGCTGATAATTTCTGATGCACCCTGGCCGACGGTTGGCCAAAGTCTTGACGGTAGTCAAATGCCTAAGGAGATTTTTGAGAACCTGTGTTTTTTTTTTAATTCAAAGCTGATATTTGTTGGGTTTGCGCTTACTTGTGGGTTCCTAATAGGTCAATGTTTATTCAAGTACAACAACCAGCGGAATGCGGATTTCGAGGCCAACTCGTCATTCTCGGCAGCTAAGACGAGACACACGAATTCGCGGGTCGGAGGATGACTTTGAGGTTGAAGATGCGGTGGACTACGAAATGGACGGCACGGGTGAGGACGATGAGGATGACGGTGATTCAAGGGACTTTGACACCGAGTATGACATGCCTATGGGAGACTACGTCGTACAAGAAAGTGAAACGTTTATGTCTACTGAAGGTGTGGAGGAGGAGAGAGTAGTAGATTACAAAATTGATGAAGACGAATTCCATAAACTCAGCTTGTATGACTGTGATTTCTTCATCAGGAAAGTACCAGATCAAGATAACGACGTTTTTGATTTTAGAGAGGTATTTACACGCCGAATTTTGAGGCTTTCAAGGGCTGCCATGTTTTGGAGAGAACCATTGTGTTGTAGCGTTAGCCATGTTCAGAGTCGCAGACTTAGCATTTGACATTCGAAGTGTTTCACCTTTTTAAAACATGTCTGGTAAATGTACAGATGTATGTCACTGCCCCAGATACGGACACGTACGCAATTCCAAAGGTTATCGGGGAAATGCCAAAGAAGGTGAGAGAATCTCATTGTTCACCTTTTCGAAATTTTGAAGCCCTTAAAGCTGGACTGGATTTATAGAAGATAACCTTACGCTTTGGTACATGTGTGCAGCCTCTTCGATGCATGAAGAGCAATTACGAATATATTTCCGTGACAGAACCCCCAATCGACACACCGCGTGCGCCGTTTTCAAAAACTGAGTATCAGGCTATGAAGGTTCTTCTACACTGTCTCTATAATATGCACTAGTGTACCTAAAATAATCGTTTCAAATTGCTGTTTACGTTACTCCTCATTGCTCCTCTCGCATCCTGACATTGTTTTGTATACTTGGGGCATTAACAATTTCTGCGTGTCTAGCACCACTCGTATATACTCATGCACAAACAAATGATGACATGATTTCGTTTTCCATAGGTCTTCTTGATAAAGCACTATCGAAATCTTCGGGAAGACCATGAGGACTTTGTTTTGGATCTCGAAAATATTTATGTCATCGATTCTACTACGAAATCAATCACAAAAGCTGATGTCAAGGTATACTGGATCGACAGTATCCTAAATCATTGTTCAAATTGACGTAGTTCTACTTGCAATGCTATTATCTAGATTCGAAATGCAACCCCCACCTGATATTTATCTTATATTGCCCTTAGAATATGCAGTCGAATTAGTGAGGGCGACATCTTGGTTCTGACAGTAAGGAGAACGCAATCCTTTTGTAAATGTTCTGTGTATTCTAGATCCAGCTCCTGTATATTTTTTGAAGGTCAATGTTACACTCCTGCTGATATATTAAGTGTTCGGGTGATTGTCAGGTGGAGGTTAGAAGAGGTAAATATCGGGATCGCACCGAAGAGACCTTGATTGTTCGAGATGACGGAACTTCATTCAAGATTATCCCAACGGTTAGATAAAGCTCTCATTTGCCTTGTGTATCTTCGTGCATGTCTTAATTCATATGCTCATTCACATTTGTTACTTGGATCTTGCGGAGGAGGGGGATTTCTCTATTTCTATTCAGAGATTAGATTGATGGGGTTTGCTGTGTAAGGATGTTCAAACTTGAAAATATGTGTATTTCGTTAATCAAGGCGCTGATGTTCAGGAGGAAGCTCACACCCCGGATGAGGTCATCCAGGCGCAGCAGTGGGATACTACAAAGGAGAGCATGGACAACTATCTCCGAGGTTTCCGTGATTACGACAAATCGAAATGGTTCTAATGTTCTCAGCGATGTCGTACTTTTGCTCATGAGAGTTCCCTGAATCCCCATAGATGACTGTAGACGATCAGTGACCTCTTTGGGATAACCACCTATATATTTTGAATCCAAACATGTTTAGCTGGACTCACAAGTCACGTGATTTACTGAAAGCACCTTCCTCTTGCAGCCTCTGACGGCTTGCAAATTGAATACAACCTGGGAAGAGCATTTGCTCTTCAGTAAGAGGAGAGAGTTCTGTCATGGTCTTACTTCGAGATATAGAGGTCAAGAGGCCCCTGAATGTTGCAAATTGCACATACGCATATTCATATGCCTCGACACAGGCCCTAGGAACTCCACAAATGATCACGATGTGGGTCTTTCATAAGCTAGTCGCCTGCTGTTTCAGAAGGGGTTGTTCATGCACAGGTTCTTGACATCAGTGTGTTCCACTTATGTCCGAATTGGGACGGATTATGCCCTGAGAAAAAGAAAACTGAACTCAATTCTTCCTAGAGTTGTAATTGAGCCCGTCTCAAAATTGAGAGTCTCCACACAGAATCGGTTAGTTCTATTATCAGAAACCACATCACGTCATGTTCTGCTGACCCACCTCCCATCAGGATACACCTGCACATAAGGTAGGTTTCTGGTTTGCCGTGTAGCTCTGCTCTGCACCTGCGACATCTTACATCTGATGGTGATTACTCAAGTGAGATGTATAAAGTGCAGCCCAGAGCCTGCCAACGAACGGGTAAACCTACCGAGAAGATAGATCGGAGAAAAGGTTTCTGCCCAGGATTGATGTTGCATGAACTTAGGTGAATATGTACTTGTAGGAAGAGGAGAAAGCAGCTCTCGAACCAACAACTATCGGTCGAATAATCTTAATACCTAGATAGTCTAAATCTGCGTTAAAATTCCACATGTAGAACTGGGTAAGAAGACTACCCACACTAACATTATAAAATGGATACTTATGACCAGCTCTCAAAAGTGGATTTTACTTCATGCTCATTTTTCATCAAATCCACTACAAGCCAGAATATTAACTCACAAATAATAGTTCAAACTGGGAACATTTCCACAAACTGTCATTAGCCCTCCCTTCATTGGAATTCTAGTTCGATTTCATTTGTTTTTTCTTCAGCAGGGGGCCCACGTTAGGGCTTTCAGAGCTTTCATATTAGTCTCAAGAAGTTTCTGCAACGTCCAGGGTGGGTTAGGTTCTTCAACCACTGTGAGAAAAGGAAATGGATAGGGAGCCCAAGGATTTCTACTAAACTGAAAAAGGAGTAAAAACCGGGTAGATGGTGTTCAGTAGCAACTGAGGATGTGGAGCATCACTAAGAGTGCAAAGTTGCTGGGTCCTTTTAATGATTCTGCATGGGTTCTCTATCAAGCAACAGCCGTTTCCAAATGTTCCCTGGATGAAACAGGACACAGAGTACACAATTGCCAATTGTGTGCGCACGAGTGTGTGGATATACATGTGCATGTACAACAACAATTACAACTTAAGTATAACTTTTCTGATTATCATTTCATTGTCAGTGGAAGCTCAGATAGTTGGAACCCACCTTGAGATGCTTGGAAGAGTCATCCGTCAACGCCAACAATCGAACAATGACCTCAACAGGCTTGCACAATTAATTCAAAGCATGTGTACACGGCTCTAGGTAAATAAATAAATATGTGTATATATATATATATATATACATATATATATATATATGAATTCAATCCTTTGTGCTATTTTAGAAAGGGGAAATCAACAGCTAAATCCGGTCATAGATAAGAGCATCTCAGCAAAATTAACTGCCAATTTACCTACATAACGAAATCAAAGTAGCTTTGCCCAGCACACGCCCTTTCATCCAGAATGAGTGCATCCATCCTTATAATTAAGTATTTCGCCCGGGGAGTGGGGGGAGGGGTGGGGATAGGTAAAGCTGTGGGAGCGGTGGAGGGCCACCACAGGAGGAGCAGGCATCATCAAAAAATTCTATTCAGGACTAGTAGAATTAAAGTTTCGTATTGAAAGTTTGAAAATGCCAGTCTGTGATAACCAGTATACAGGATTCTTATTTTCATTCGGAAGAAATGCAAACTGCTGAGTCCGCAAGTGGTGGTAGATTCAGTTATTCTCGTCAAAACACAAACCTAACCCAAAACGAATCCTAATACCAGACGAAAATTGCAAGAAGTAAAGCCCACAAACTGAAAAAATCCAGGGAGGTCTCTCTTCCACAAATGGCTCCCCGGAATGCTCAAAGATCATCCGGACACTTGTGGGTTCACGTAGGTCTTGATTCACCGCGAATTACGACCGCAGTCAACAACTCTCCATTTCTGGATCGCTCGCTCGCTATCCAGCTCGGCCTCGCTTCCTCTAAAGCAGCAAAGCCTGTTGAACTGATACTCCAAGAAATTTGTAGAGCCACTAATTAGCGTTTGCACAGGAAGCACTAATCAAATATGTGGCACGAGTCAGCGGTTGTGAGCTTGCGGCTCCCCTTGTGACTCTTTTTACGTTGCTTTTTCCCGTCTTTTCCTTGTCAGTGGCTGCAGAAGTGGATCCTCCGGTTGAAAGCGAAAAGCAATAACAAAGGGATAAACCGCGCCCGAAAAGGTTAATGACCTGCTAAAATACCGCAGTAAAATCCGAGGAACGAATGTCGCTGAAGAAGGTGATGAGCCACAAAAAGCAAGCATGGAATCGAACTCCTGCAGCCTCCAGTATCGTCAAGTAGGAACGGAGAACTCAATCTGCCCTAAAGTGGAGGATTCTCATAATCCTCAGGGAGGCTGCCAAGTTCGGAAACCTGAATGCATGTCGAAGTCGCGGTGTGAAATTGAATATTATATCTTTGCACAACCGGGAAGCCCTGCACTCTCAACTGGGGCAGCAGTGTGGAGCTCTTAATGACCGCCGTGTGGAGAAATACGAGTGGTGCTGATGAAGCATCCTTTTATCTCGTGAGACGACGAGCGTGGTGAGCCTATGCTGTTGCAGCAAGAAGTTTTTTGTCTTCAAATTTGGAATAACAGTGGAGCTTTTGAACTCGTGTTTATCCAAACCAGATTGGGCAATTGTCCTCAGTTGCGAAAGGGGCAGCCCAGCCAAACAAAGCAAATCACCTTGGAAGACTCACAAAGATGGACACATAGTTAATGGACGAATAGAAAAAATGAATCCTGCGATGAAGAGCTTTTTCTTTCCAGTGTTGGTGAATGATCATATGAGTGGCAACATTGATTTTGGATGGATGTCAGTTGTGATTGGAGTTTTGTGTCATTTAGCTTCACTGGTTAATTAGAGGTTGAGCCAGTTAAGTTGGTCCCCATTCATTCTGTGTACTGAAAGTTAACCAAAACTTTTTCCTATTTTTAATGGCCATCGTTAGGCAAGATGCTGTGATAAATTTCCGCACCAGAATCATACAAATCTTCGATTTCCAAAAAAACAGAAAGCTAAAATTCTGACAAATAATGACGTGTGGGTGTGGTGTGAGGGGGGGAATCAGCCTTCAAAGCAGCCCGAATTTGCACAAAACTTAGTTTTTAGAAAAACATCCCCTGCCCAGACGTCGTCTGTACGATCTAGTGGGTGCAAAAGCGGCCCAGGTGAGCAGTTATTACATGAAGCCAAGATGCCACCTCTGCAGTTTAAAAGCATGGATAAACGCATCACCCAAATATACAAGGACACTGCCCAGATTGGAGTAGTGGAGTAGTAGTGGTGGTACCACCTTATCTCCCCCTCCTTTATTTTCACATTCAACTGGGCAGTATATTTTATGAGTTATCCACGAGAACCGTTGCGAACAGCCCTTTTGCTGATAACATGAAGGCCATTCGAGGTAAGAGCCTTTACTGTTTGAGCGATATGATGGGATCTCTCACGTCTTCGTGCGAATGCGCCACAAGAGGGGTCATTGCGGGGAAGAGAAAATCTGATCAAGTAGCTTCCAAGGACGTTAAAACTCAGAATTTTGACATCAAAACTCATAACTTTAACATTAAGACTCATACTTTTAACATTAAAACTCAAAGTTTTGTCTATGGGTGCAGCAGTTGTGCGCCAGGGGAAGCGGTGTGTCAGGAGCCCAAGCCCAAAACAGCGCCCATCTCCGTGATAGGGGCAGCAAAAGCAGAGGGAGGGCATGTGCTATTGAAGAAGCAGCTCAAGGCTCCGACCCCAAAACCACTGTAAATTCGACTTAGATTGAGAGCCTGAAAGGTAGTGTCCGTCTGGGAATCCTGGAGTGCCAGATCAGCCCTAAGAGTAGTGAATTAGGTCTAGCTGGCAGATCATTGGAAGCTACAAATAGAAAAATGAGAGGAGCTAATGATTGTGCAATGTACCCAAATAGGAGGGGTACTTTTCAATATATTCTGGGGGGACTGAGGAAGGCTTGAGGTTGCTACTGGTGGAATAGGATTCATTCTATCAGGATTGGGCAGAAATTCAGGAAGTTAACTATTCTGGTCAAAAAGGTGCCCGGTGTTGAAAAAAAGCCAAGTCCCAGTCTCAACCACATTGATCACAGTAATCTTGAAGTATTAATTTAATATCAAGTGAATTTTAAAAACTTCTCTCAAGCAAGATGATAGTTACAGAGGAAAAATTGCATATGATGTGAAAAAATATTTTAAAATCTTAGATGTCATAAAAAGTGCTATTACAAAAAATATATGTTGTAAAAACTTCTCATTGTTTCCAAACCCACAGGCTGAAACTCATGTAGGGGAGAACGTAGACCAAAAGTAAAATTTGGAATAGGAGACACATACTTTAGCAAATCAGTTAGATAATAATACAATGCGAAAAGAAATCATGAATTTTAACTTCTGAAACACAAGCACAAAAATTCAGCAAGACATTAATGCAACGTAAAACAAAAGAGGAAAGAAGGGATAAAAAGAGAGTGATGTGAACTGGCAACTTTGGTCGAGAAGGAGGGGAATCATCTACTTTTTCACATTCAGCCCAGCATCCATCCAGCACAGAAAATGTGGTTCTCATGGTGCATGGGGACGAGTGTCAAAGTGATGGATACTCTAAAGATAGCCATACTATATATATAATTATTGTGGTGGGAAAGGAATATGGATCTGTAATCAAATTGGAGCATTCACCTGCTCTTGCAAAAGTCCCCCCCCCTTGTTGTAAAGCTGCCACATCACTTCTTCTTTTTTCTCTCACTTACTTTTACGATTATTCATCACTTTTTTCTTTTTCGTTTTTCGTTTGTTTTTTATGGCTGGTTTTAGATTCAATTCATCTTTGCGAAAACCTAAAATCCCTTCCCTTCCATTAGGATTGCCACGTGTAGTAAAAACAAAAATTCTTCATTACAAATACACGTATTAGAAACTTCATTACCAATAACTATAATTATTTATAATTATTTATATTAATACATGGTACTTACTATTAAGATATTTCAAGAAATAGTAGAATTCAATGTGAAAGTCTGAATTGTACTGACCCAGAAATGTGTCATACAGT